ATATATATACACACACTTAAATAAATGATCAATATAACAATTAAGTTCTATGAATTGTATATTTATATTGTTATATTTATATTAACTGTTAGTTTAGAATAAATTAATCTAACAATTACAATTCTAAATCTGCTAAAAATGCAACATGTAAAAAATACATATATATATATACACACTTAAATAAATGATCAATATAACAATTAAGTTCTATGAATTGTATATTTATATTGTTATATTTATATTAACTGTTAGTTTAGAATAAATTAATCTAACAATTACAATTCTAAATCTGCTAAAAATGCATGCAACATGTAAAAATCAAACTTGATGTGGCAAGCTCTTGTTCTGACAATTTTTTCAATGTACTGTACAAATTTTTAATTGAACATTTTATTTTATTTTTTTTATAACATATACAATGACTAAATTATTGCATTATTATTCTACATTAAAACAAGAACATTAATATTAATATAATTGTCATCAGATATGCCATCAACCCCAAAAACAAAATTATTTTATTGTTAAATGTTCCTAATTTCCGGTGTGTGTTCACTGCTGTGTGTGTGCACTTTGGATGGGTTAAATGCAGAGCACTAATTCCAAGTATGGGTCACCATACTTGGCCACGTGTCACGTCACTCACTAATTTTTCCAGAAATGTTTTGTATTACCCCCCCACTTTTTTTCTTAAATAGTAACTATATACAATATAAAACGGGACCCTAAGAATCTAAAATGCTTGTTTTGCAATTTCATTTCATTCATCATACTCATTTAATACAAAACATCCTTAAGACTAATAACCATTGATTAACTGATTGATAAGAAAAGGTCTAATAACAAACCACTATTGGCGCTTTTCCACTGCGAGGTACGACTCGGCTCGGTTTGCTTTTCCACTGCAGTTCAGTATCGCTTTAGAGTGGGCGGGATTATTCACATGTCGTTATAGTTGCGCCGCCTCTACTGCCGCGACTCCTGAAAAACTTTTTCATTCCGCGTCACCCCATCAAGCTCTCGCTGGATCCGCTCCTCTGCTATCAACGAGAGGAACGTCTGTACTTCCTCAACAGACAACGAAACAGCCACTTTTTGGTTGTTAAAAAAAGGTGCGCTCGTTCAAAACAGTTGCGTTCGATCCTTCACTGGCTGTGCTGATTTAAATCTAGCGGTTCTGTTGCATTTGTGTCGCAAGTTCAGTGACGCAGGTAGTGACGATTCTCTCCGGCCAGTCAGTGATCAGCAGTTTATGCGTCACGTTTTGGTAATGGTACGGTTCACTTGGAACCCCAACCGAAGTGGTACTAAAAAAAGTACCAGGTACCAGGTACTGTACCCAGTGGAAAACCCCCCAAAAGTGAACCGTACCGAGCCGTACTATGCAGTGGAAAAGCGCCATATGACATTATTTCAGCTGATGGCCTGTTATAAGAACATTATTTTGTGTATTTGGTGTAATGAAATGTGTTTATGCGGTTTAAAGTTAAAAAAACACATTATTTTCCACATACTGTACATTATTGTTTCTCCTCTATGCCCCGCCTTTCTGAAACGCGTCGATTTTTACAAAGCTCATCGGTCTGAAAAAGCGAGGTATGCTGTGATTGGCCAGCTATCCAATACGTTGTGATTGGCCGAATACCTCAAGCATGAGACAGAAATGTTACGCCCCTCACCATACTATTGATGCC